GAATTACTTCATTTATTAATTATCCAGTTTCTTAGAATTACTTCATTTATTAACTTATCCAGTTTCTTAGAATTACTTCATTTATTATATTATCCAGTTTCTTAGAATTACTTCATTTATACTCGTCCTCAATAAATCGAATTAATATTCTTAAACACAACAATCATATTTTATAAAAATATGATATTTCTATTTAATAAGAGATTTACAGGTGATTACTTAGAAAATCGTATCTACTCATATTCATATTGATAAAGGCTTAACTAATTTAATAAATTAAAATGACACTTGTGCAATATATGTATATATAAATAATCACTTAGCTTATATTTAAGACATGGTAAAAAAATTCTAAAAACACAAGAATGTAGTTACTGAATGATCTCACTGGCTTTATATATACATATATATATTATCAAACAAGTATAGCAAATGTATATAGAAGAAGTAAGAAAATCCAGAATATAAAATTAATGTAATTTCACTTACCACTTCAAAATGTTGTCCTGTGTTATACAGACAGAAACATTGCAAGTGATTTTAATTCTTAACAGTTCTTTGAAAGAATCCTTTGGTATCACTAACAAAAAAAGATTAAATAAAATGTAGTATTTATGCTCGAGATATGTAGAGCCAACCTCAAACACCAGGCTCCAGCTGTGATCTTTTTACGTCCCAATCTTTACTTAAATAGATCACTCTATTACTGGTAACTTATCACCCCGTCCTCCTCCTAAAAAGCTTTTGCGGAAGACTGGTGGAGAGTGCACATTTTAGTGAAAAATTAGGTTTGAACTGAAAACGCGCTGCAACAGTGTTACTAGGCCTTATTGATAGGATGTCACATTCGGTTGTCAAAAAAGCTACTTTACCTTTGAACAACAAATTTCAGAGTGTTGCCAGAACTCACAATGACGTCATGAGCTTCTTGATGTGTTAGCCTACTGGCGTCTTGATCCATAATCCTCATAATAATGTCACCCCGGTAAAGCTCACCCTCCGAGGGACTCCCAAGAAAAACCTAAAAAACATTAAAAAATCTACTTCACAGAAAAATAAACGTTAAAAACATATAATACCATGTATCAGTTTAATATGAGTTAGAAAATATAATATAAAGCTTACAACTACTCAAAAGCTCTGCTCAACAAAGAAAAATGTAAGTTTACATTCCAAAACTTAGTGTGCTATTATTACGTCAAATTATCATTATATCTTAAAAATTAGAAAATAAGGTCCTTGTTTTTTATTTATCTATATATTATAGCTTAAACAAACATTATCTTGGATATCATATGTACAATAAATTAATGCGACACGTAAATTTAATCATCGTACACTCCGGAGTAGAATACTAAAAATAAGCTATTTTTGAATCATTGATTTGAGAGGGAGTATGTCTATATGTTTGTAGACATATATAGATATATAGAAGTGTTGACTTCACTTTCTAACACACATCTTGCTGCCGTACTTAAAGGAATGTTGTAAAACTTTATATATTACAGAAGGCCATGTTTTATTTGTTACAACTGTTGTTGTTGTTAAAGACGAAGAATAAAAACATAAAAAGTTTTATCAAATAAACTATAACTTATTTCAAGTTCTTTGTTTGTTTATTTATTTTTGAATTTCGCGCAAAGCTTCTCGAGGGCTACCTGGCCTAGCCGTCCCTAATTTAGAAATGATAGGCTAGAGAAAAGGCCGCTAGTCAGCACTACAACTCGCTAAACTCTTAGGCTGCTCTTTTACCAACGAAAAGTGGGATTAATCGTGAAGTTATAACACCCCACGGTTTGAAAACCGAAAGGGTGACCATGTTTGGTAATAGGACTCGAACGCACGACCTCCAAATTATGAGTCGAATGCCCTACCCACCAGGCCATGCCAGGCATTACGTAGTTCACAAAAAAAGTAATGAAAGATTATTGATAAATTTTGTTTTGAAGTAATGTCAAGTAAAATTAATAATACGTGTATATCATCTGAATGGGCGTAAAACATAAACCCCACCTATAGAGAAAAAATATTAGCACAAATACTAGGAAACTAGTTTGGACACTTTAAAACACTTCGGATAATTTTAATGTATAGAATTTGGAGAAATGTACCGATTTTTAATGTGGGATATTTATTGCTGTTGACGCCACGACCAGAACACCATCTATGTTGTTAACAATGTGATATTAAAACAAATTATATACTTAAGACATTCAAGTAAATAACATAATCCGAAAATACCAGTTTATTTCTATCAAAGATCACACTAAGTTAATACGATAAAAAAACAACTAGAAAATTCAGAGTTTATGAAAAATATTTAAACGTGACTGGTTTGGTAAAGGCTGAGTTTTTTCTAAAAGTGTTTTTATTTGTCCTAGCTCTTATATATTTAACACGAACTTTTCGTAACCTAGATTCCCTTTGTATTACATTCATTATTGATGCTTCAATTTACAAATCCGTCGACTTCAAATGATGTTGTTATTCTTCACGGAATTTAAATGATATTGGATGACTTGAACTGATCTGATTGTACCGTACGTTGCTATTTTTCTCGAATAGAAATGGTTACTTTGAATTCATTGGATTGGGATTATTATTGCTAACTTTGCAAGTTACGGATCTGTTCGTTTTTACCTGTTTCTATATATATATACGTGAACAGATCAATCTTTTCGATTGCTAGGGGCAACTCAGCTGAATGAGTTTCATCGTCTTCGCGCGATGTTTGTCTTCTTTTTTGTAACGCTTTCACTTGAACGTTGGCGGTGAGTGGTGATGATTAGCTGCTTTCCCCCTAGTCTTACACTGCTAAATTAGGGACGGCTAGTGCAGATAGCCCTCGTTTAGCTTTGCGCGAAATTAAAAAAAACTAACAAACAAACTGTTTGTCTTCTAGTTTTACAAAGATATGAAATTTCTGTTTCGAAATTTAATTGCTACAACGAAATCTTTCCTAAGTTTCCATAAAAAAATTTCTGGTTTCATAAATTTCATCCGATTTAAAAGTTTTTTGGTTCGTTCCTAGCATCCGTGCAACGCTTGGAATCTTGAAATATTTAAATACTTTGAGTTACGAAGAATAAAATAGTAATTTACAACGAGAGTTATTTTTAATCTTTGCTTTTTGTTTTCCTTATTTGAAAAAATAAATTATTTTCCAAGTTATTTTCAACTTTTTGAATATATTCTATGTACATCAAACACGCATCACGATTACACAAATTCCCAGGTAAACGTGTCTTCTTTTTTTTCAGTGTCACTAGCACAATAATTGTTACTTAAGTTACCTAAAATAAATCACGTTCTGTGTAATGAGTGTCTAGTGTTGAATACCTCTTACTTATTTTTTTTCAGTGAATACCAATGGCGTGCATTCATGTCAGAGAGAATCACTATGTCACGATGTTGTAAGAATGCTGTAATGAATGACTTTACCATTGTTTAGAAACAAACAACCTATGGCGACAAAACAATAAAAAAGCAAGATAGACGTAATAATGAATGAACTTAGCTGGGAACAAATAAAGTATATTCTGTGTAATGAGAGCGTAGTGTTGAAGAGAAGATTGGTTTGTTTGTTATGAATTTCGCACAAAGCTACACGAGGGCTGTCTGCGTTAGACGTCCCTAATTTAGCAGTGTAAGATTAGAGGGAAGGCAGCTAGTCATCACCACCCACCGCCAACTCTCGGGCTACTCTTTTACCAACGAATAATGGGATTGACCGTCACATTATAACGCCCCCACGGCTGAAAGGGCGAGCATATTTAGTGTAACGAGGATTCGAACCCGCAAATTTCTAGTCTAGCGCCCTTACCACTTGGTCATACCGGGCCGCTGAAGAAAAGAAAGAAATCAGGTACGAATAAAAGAAAAGTAGTCGGACATGTACATTTCTAAATCAAAATATTTACAATATGTTTGCTACTATATAAACGCTAAACAATTTTAATCCATTTCTTGCTTGTGGTTAACTATGAATGGACAAAAAAGTATTAAGATTAATAAGTCAAAATTCTTCTAAAAAATTCGCTCAGCCGTGTACTGATTAATTTGAACTTAATTTATATCCATTTCTAACCGTTTTTGTTTTCATTGGGCGATATCAAAAATGTGTACTAGCTATCAGTTTACCGAAGATCTTTAATGGTAAGAGTGAACGATAACAACTGAAGTTAGACAAAATGAGCCGTAACATGTTTTTTATTTGTTATTTGTAAAACGTGTTTCAAAGTTTTCGTTTTTAACAAGAAATTGTCTACTGCTGGATGAAATCTCGCCATTAATATTTTTTTTATGTTTTCTTGTGATTGAAATTCCATAGAAAGGGCCCCATTTCGATTAAGATGTTATCTGGGTATCATTATTTCAATTATTTTATTTACTCCATGATCTAATCTTGTATTTCTATCAGAGATTGAAGTCGAAAAACTATACTTTTATTATTTATTTTTAATTTTATTCCCCGTAGTTCTTTAACACCTACCAATATAACCCGCAAAATTAGATTATAGAAGCAAAGCTAACTTCATTATGAAAGTTTATTTATATTAATCTCACTTCTTTGCAGATTTAAAACTTTTAACTACGACAACAACAAAATATCGAATGTACTTATAATAATAGAATTTAATAATAGTGCATTCTAACTTGCTATGAAAAATAGAATACTGGTTTTGTTTTTTAACGTAGTATTTTAAACTTGTGCGCATGGATTTTTTGGTCTCCACGCCGATCGTTTGTTAAAACTTTTCACAGTGTTTTTGCTTCATTTGTTATAGTGCTAAGTGCGGCCTATTGGTTAGCGTGTCAGACTGTAGATCAGCAGCGTAACTACAAAAGATAGCCCTCCCCCGCATAAAAAGTAATTGGAACCCTTATATATTTCTCTATAATTGCAGTTACGATTCAGGCTGATAGATATCATTAACTTAACATAATAGAGCAAACGATCTTTAATTCAAACAAATTAAATCGTGTCTCTCTCCTCTTTGGCAATTTTCAAGTTTTTCTCAAGGGGGCATACTTACGCTAATGTTGTGGATTCGCACTTTGGGACCGTAGATGTGTTATAAGAATGACGGCTAAATCTAACTATTCGATTAGAGTAGCCCAAGAGTTTGCAGTGGATGGTGTTGTCTAGCTTTGCGCGAAATTCAACAAACAACAACAGTCTTTTATTAGAACACTGTAAAAAGCTCTATCGTATTAGTGAGCGCCATAGATTGGTCTTCAAAAGGAAGGACATGGTATAGATTACCTTTAAGCCAGCCATGCCCATATATATATATTTAAATTAATTGATTTCCAACTCAAAGAAATGCAAACATTACAAAAATATATAATTGTGCTAAAGTGTTTCTTAAAGAAATCAAAAAACTCTATATACAATTGTACGGAAACTCAATAAATTTTTTTCGAAAGTAATAAAGATCTACATTGTTATTTCTTGTTCTTTAAGTGTGTTAAAAACTATGCAAGACAGTTCTTCTGATCGTGATCTTTGAACTTATTTGTATTTATTGACTTATATTTGGCTAATTTTTTAACGTATTCTCACGTTAATTTGCTTTTAGAATTGTGTTTTGTTTGTTTCGTTTTTAAGCGCAAAACTACATAATGAACTGTTGTGTTCTTCCATCTTCGAGTTCGAAACCCGATTTTTAGCGTCATTAGTTCTCTAACTTACCATTGAGCCACCGGAGAGTCTTTACAGTGTGATTTTCTAATTTAAAATGTTTTCAGCAAACTATCTTAACTTCTGTTATGGTTTACACACCTAAACTGTCGCAACATAATCCTTGAGTTGGTAGTAGAGGTGTTATTTCAGTAATACTATGATAATAATTCGAAAATGGTATGTCAAACACAAGTAACAGTTGGAAAATGGTATGTCAAACACAAGTAACAATTTGAAAATCGTATGTCAAACACAAGTAACAATTGGAAAATGGTATGTCAAACACAAGTAAGAATTGGAAAATGGTATGTCAAACACAAGTAACAATTTGAAAA